GGTTGGTTCCAGTTCTACTAAATAACCACTCAAACAGCTCATTTCCAGCCTCGCAAGATTGTTGCAGGCGTTTTGAAAAGGGGGAAATCCCTTAAAATTTGAGAATACAATCCAAACTAATTTGTGTCCGAGTAATTATGAAAAGAAGTACTGGTATCTGTTAGCAAGAACAAGGAGAGCGAACGCCATCGCAGGACGGATCCAGAACCCAAAATGTGGGGAAATGGGGTTGTTCAGAACATCATTTGATGATAGCATTTGGTTAAAAAATGAAGAGTAATTGTGAATTGTGTTTTACTTACACCTTGTAAAATAAAAGTTAAAGGTACTTGTAGTCGTGGCCTTAATACGAAAACATACAAATGGAAAGTACTTCCATTTGGAATTTTTGTGTCACTGGATTTCAGGTTTTTCGTAAACGTTCTGATACACATTACATTACATATTTTACATTACATTACATATTTGTTGACTTTTTATATTTTTTAAATAAAAAAATCACAATTTCTTATTTTAATAGGATTTTTTCATTTTTATAAAAATGTGAGACAAGCTGGCCCAAATGTCTATTCAAAAGCAAGCAAATTAGCTGCATGGGTAATTGTTTCCTTTTATTTATTTGTTTTGTGACAAAATTAAACAAATTTTTAATTAAATTAAGGAATTGAAATCAAATAATTTGATTACATTCACAAACCACCATGTCTTAGCATTGGTGAAATGCATACGGTATAACACCTACCAGTACATGTCCCCACACAGAAGACACTTCCTTGAGAGACAAGTACGTGTCCCCTCAGAGAAGACACTTCCTTGAGAGACAAGTACGTGCACTCATACCAGGTTTGAAACCAAACTCTTAAGTTTAGACAAAAGTAGAGTTCACGAGAATTTGTTAATAGGGTACTTATACATGCATCAAATGACTAATGAGTGAGAAACATGCCATGAACAAGAGGTACATGCATTCATTTTGCATGCTACATGTATAGGTACAAAATGCTGGTATTTTACCTTGCTCTGTGTGTAAAAAGTAGTCTCATTTTATTTGTGATCCAGCTCCACAGAGCAATGACTTAGGTTTGATAAAAAATCACTTTATTAAGGGCATGGATTTAGTGTTTTTAGTTGTAACACTATAATGACTAACGTTTCTAATCTCAAAAGTTCTAGAGATGTAAAAGATTGATGTACACTTACACGTTACCATAGTAAACCATGGAGGAAGGACACAGAACGAGTTTGAACTGCCCGGGCTATAACATCTGGTCAATTACGGCTTTCTAGCACGTCCGGTACACATAGAGCCAGAGCGTAGTGAATGCTTGCTACGCACCCACATGATTCACAGCAATAAGCCCCTTTTGTACCCTATGATCATTGCGGCAATTTTTGCTTGTAATCTGCATCCTTAAAACGTTGTGCACTGTAGTATTAGAGGTTGAGTATTCGTGCCATCGATGGTGCTTGGTATGATTTGAAAAATATCTCACATCCCGTAGACGCTAATAAAGTTCCTGCTACCATCGATTTGATATTTAGGGAACGCAACAATACAAAAGGGTATTTTATGAGATCACTTGAGCACGCCTTGTGATGAAATAGCGTATTTCAATGGTTATAAACTTAACTGTCCAATAGTGGTTAACATGTTGTTGGCCAGTCTTAGCCAAATTCCTACAATGACATGATGTTTTGGAGAGACAAAATAAAATTACAAATATGGCATGGATAATGGAACAGCATATCAAAGTAAAATATTTAGTCATGAAGGCAAAAGTAGATCTAATGTTACAGATTTTTTGCTCTCTATTTCCTGATCACGGCGGTAAGTTGTAATTAATTGCAAACAAAACACACGAAATATTGCTAGGATTTTACTGATCCCATTTGTACGGCTTATCTGCAGGCAGTAATCAGGAATTATTGGAATGTTTACTACTGTTATGAAATGAGTACAAGAGAAATGCAAATGAAAAGAAATAAGTGCGTGTAGTGCCTCTGATATAAATTTAGCAAACTTCAGGTAATCTCTCTTTTAGTAATTCTTAAAATTAGTATGATAATTGTACAAAAAAGACAAAAATTCCTTATCCAGTATGTTAAGTCCACAGAATTTGTTTTGTGGTATGTGACTATTGAGTAATAATTCTCAGCTCGCATACCGGCTGAGAACTTCTGCACATTAATCCATAGCACGACGAGTAAAATTACCGCTTTGCTACGCGCTAACAATCCCAACGGACGTCATATGCCGCCCACGAAAATTTATGATTTTTATATTGTGATGTATTTTTCATTGACTTCACAATAAAGATCAACAGCAACGCTCCGCTTAGATTTGTAAAACCGTATACATGTATAGGGTAACGGGGCGTAAGCCACTTGTTAGAAGGATTAAGAAATTCAGCCAGGGCCAGCTGGGTCTTCTTCCTGTATCGATCAGATCTCCGCTACCATAGTATGCTGAACGAGAGACCGTCAGCACGTACCCGCCCTCTCTCAGTCAGTGTCCAAGGATTAAGTCGACCAACGCTCACTCCGAAGTACTACCCACCTCACACCGCCGCGTACAGCCCTTTGTCCGAAAGATAATTGCCCCATTGCTCGGCGGTACGCGCAGTCCATTGTATGTCTAGGGATTATCGCTTACTGTCCCTTGATTACTCTGGACCTCCTGGTGGGCCAGTCAGTATATTTCCATGATACCACACAACATGGCTCATCGTCTATTTTTATCATCACATTTCATCCTGTTGTGACTGAATTTCATAAAGGTCAAAAGTGTACCACATTTTCTGACCCTCTGCTAATTCATATACATTGTACATGTTCATACCATACCAGAGATCCTTTTAGACTTTCTGACCCTATGCGATTCCTATTCATCCCTACGTCATCTTGTGCCATTTTTTTCATCCATTTTCATTCCTACTCCTATCAATATTATATTATTATGCTTATGAATATTAATGTGACCTTTAGCTATTTTATAGGAAAGGTCAAAGTGTGCCAGGCTGAAACCCACCCCTACTCAGATAGTACAGAAATGGAGCAAGCAAGTCTTCATCTAAAGTCTTCAGTAGCACTGATATTAATCATAATAAGCACCCTATTTTGAATAAATACAAGTGTAATGTATTTTCACTGAGTTAACTTAAAACAGGAATTACATCTGGCATGCTTAGGTCACACGAACCACGACCATCGTAGTTGCATGTTGTTACACGAGATACCAATAATGTGCATTCTGCAGAGCTGGTATACTTGACAGAGTGTAGAACGAAATTTTGGTGGAACATTTTCGGTATGTCCAACGAAAGAAGTATAAATTAGATATGGAGAGATACGGCACCTTTACCACATCCCTTTTGAATTAAATTTTACCATGTTGCTAAAAAATTATTATGACTTAACACAGGCCAATGACTCAAAGGTACTTTTTCCCTTTCTACTGTATCAAACACATGCACAAGTAGGCCTATATGACATGAGTAAAAGAGCATGTAAATCTTGCGAAATGTCGAGACAAAATTATATTAAGTGTAAACCTATTTATTCACGCCCATGACATGATGGATTTATGCATACACCTGCATGCGTGATTATGCTTTATGACCACACTTTTGGGTCGGTTTACAGGTCGATCTAAGTCTGAAATCCATTTTCAGTCGAAAAATTAATAATTATGAGCTGATATAAAATTATTTCTGGAAATACATGGTGTTTAATGTCTTGAAGGGCAGTTTTGGTTATCAAAATTCTCTTACACGTCAGAGACAGAATCCATGTACAGTTTGGACCATGCCATCATGCTTCGGTGAGATAGAGAGATCGCTACATTTTAAGAAAACTCTTTTCTTCATATGAAAAACTAGTACGTATTTTGTCACTCTTTTATACGGCGCATTCCTTAACGTCGGAAAGGTGCGAGTCAAACACGTATTTTCTACAAACTTTTCACCGTGCACAGAATAAATTGTGACGATTTCGACAAGCTCGCCGCAGTTTGAAGCTACAATTTCTCCTCTTTATCGTGACTACTTTCCCAAAATGATCCACTTCTGGAAAACTGCGCTTTTTCGGTTACAAAATTGCGATTATAAGATGATAACTATGCTTTGCTGCTGGGGGTCACGGCGAGTTCCTCTGTTTTCTTGCAGGTTCGTACTGTTACCTTTAATCGCTCCACAACACTGGATTGTGTCATCATGCACATGAAGTACGACTTTCTTGTGTCCAATTTTTCTCATACCGAATTTTTCTCATACCGAAGCAACGTCATCATAATTTATGCAAAACCGATAATCGGGCCTCTGCAGTTCATCTACTACTCGAATATTACATGGGAACCAGACCACTCCAGGCCCACGTGCCTCCACCGTGAAAACTTGGCTTGAAGCTTGTTATAATCGGCCCAGAAACGTTGCAGAAATCCGTTTGATTTTCCTGTCCCTCCACTTTCAGAAAGGTTTTGCGGTAACAGCATTACAAATATTCCACTTCGTGTTCATATTGTCTGCAAAATACACCGAAAAAATTGCTTCATTGCTGACAGGACGCGGGCCACGCTAATTTGGTTTGGAGGGGTTGGTCAGTGGTGATCGTCTTAACGGAGTTTGACTGTATTTGTTTCATTTGAAATGTTGCCAATATTTGCTTTGTTTACATTGGATGGATTTAACTGTCGGATATGCAGAAGGGTTAGCTGCAATACTGTATTTACTGTGGACAGATTTGCGGTGACAACATGTGGGTATATGTCTTTTTTGTGAGTGTGTGTGGTTCTGAGAAGAACCGGGGTTCACTCGACGTTTCAGAAAAAGTGCTCTGTCCGTCTTCAGGAGAAAGAGTGCATGTGTAGCCTTTAAGTACTGGTTGGGAGGATTGAGTGTAGTGGGAACTCGTTGAGGCGGAACTGTTGTCGTCGGGAGAGGGTAGTGGACCGTGGGTATTGAGGACCCATTGGTCTGGTTGGGTAGCGGGGGCGCCAGATGTTGCTAAATGTTGAAGCCGATGTTTTGGGGTACTGTGTCGTGTCTGCACATCTCGATGGCTTCTCTGATGCATCTGGGGTGCCATCTGTTGACAGGAACGATGAGTTCTGCTGCTTTCCAGTCGATGATGTGATCTTCAGCATGTGAGTGCTTCACTATGGCCGATTTGTCATAGTCTCCTCTGCAGCCATGGGCAGTGTGCTCTTTGACTCTGGTAGAGAGATCTCTTCCAGTCTCGCCGATACACACCTTCCCACATTCGCAGGGGATGCCACACACACCAGCTTTGGTCTTGTGGTCTTGCTTGTCCTTGTGCGTCTGCAGGCTGGCTTGGAGTTTCTTGATCGATGAGTGATACACCTTGATGCTGGCTTGATTGAGGATCCGTTGGATTTTGTGTGACGTACTACCTATGAATGGGGGGTTGACTATGTCCTTATAGTTGGGGCGCTGACTTTGGGTATAGGAGACCCGAAAATTGAGGTGATTTTGAGTCTTGACTTGGCGCCGATGATATTCATTGAGCCGGAGTGCTGTTGAGATGTGCTGGAGTTCATCTTGTAAGTGTTCCTGTTTGCAGTTCTTGTGTGCTCGTTGGATCAGGGTGCGGATGACTGAAGATTTTACCCTGGGATGATGGAAAGATGAGTTGTGCAGGTACCGGTCTTTGTGGGTGGGCTTACGGTAGACGGAGTGCCCGAGGGAACCACCCACGTCAACAGTGACACGCATCACCGAGCCCACTAACAGCAACCCACAGGATTAGGATCCAAGCACCAGTTAGGCTGTTCCGCCTCAACGAGTTCCCACTACACTGAATCCTCCCAATCCTCCAGTACTTAAAGGCCACACACGCACTCTTTCTCCTGAAGATGGACAGAGCACACTGTCTGAAACGTCGAGTGAACCCCGGTTCTTCTCAGAACCACACACACTCACAAAAGAGACATATACCCACATGGTGTCACCGAAAACCTGTCCATAGTTAGTACTTCCACCATGCCTAGCCTCAAGTCTCATCTAATACTGTATTTGTTGTACATTCATGGGTTTATGCAGCCTGCAAGGCTGAAAAGTTTATTCATTGAAGTACAGTATTGTAATAACAAAGCCTTTTGTTTCCAAAACACTTGTATCATTGGTGCAGTTTTTCTGGAACGTAGTGCCATGCAGATCTGCGCGCTCATAGAACACCCGCATATGACGAAATGGTCGTAATCAGGAATTGGGGTCACACTGGTCTGAGCTGTGTGCCTGTTAAATGCGTTCATGTACGTACACCTACGTGCGCTCATACATGGGGCCTTGTGGAGTACTGGTACAATGGGAAGTACCCCAGAAGGCCAGTTTTTACCTTTTCACCAAAATTGGTACCCACAGGAATTTCACGAAACTGATATTTGGAAATAACTCAAAAAGGGGAAATTTTTGATGGGTAAAAATTTGTCGCAAATCGAAGTGTTTTATATAAGGGACATACGGTCGAAATTTCAACCCAGGAAAGTTTGGTTTAATTTGGTTTAAATTGAAGTGATTTGAATTTTTTGCGTGTTGGGTGGGAGTTTTGTACACGAGAACAAAGGAAATACCCCACAAGTATAGCTGTGTAAGGATGGGTGATTGAAAGGCAACAGCCGTGTGCAACGGTGAAAGGGTAATCTAAGAGTTAGAGCTAAGAAGGAAAAACCTTGCCTGCAGTTTCAAGTGAGGATAATGCTTTATACTTGATCTTGCACCTAATTAAGAGGCATTCGGTCAATGAAGTTTCAGTAACGACCCCAAATTCCGTTTGTCTAATTCATTCAATTTGAGAGTCTCTTGCCCTTGTGTTTGTGAGGTGTGTTTACCCCTACCCGCGAGTAAGGACCCCAGTGCCTGTTAGTAGACTGAGCCGCAACGAATCTGCTCCCCAGGCTTGTTAGACCGCTCATAGGACGGTGATTGGAGGAGGTGAGAGCCACAATATCTTGTGTTGAATGGAGAACGTTATCTTTACATAATTGAAGAAAAGACCGGATTTGTATCTCTTCAAGCTGTATCAAAAAGACGGAAAAATCTGCTATTGATTCTTTTTAATTTTATTTAAAAGCACCAGGTACAATCGTATTAATTACAGTTCAAACAGAAGTCAAAATAGTATCCAGAAACTTGTCAAGACCATAATGGCGGTGTCTATTTGGAACTATGTAAGAAGATTGGGAATGCTCGATTCAACGTATGCTGCAACAATCTGGGCAGCTGCTTTCTATAGTTTGCTCCTGATATTGGCGACAGACAGCAGGTAATAATTTTCTGTTATTTCCAAATAACTGGCCTTCAATTTCCGATACTTTGGATTAAATAGTATATTTGATATTACTTTTTTTTAATAATTAACCTTATTATGACACCTTGAAGCGATTTTATGATTGATTGCGGTTTCATTAAGAAGTAATTTTGAACAATTTGAAATCAAAACGTAAATGTTATTCCTCAAGATTGTTTGATCGTTATTATTGTGGTCTTCACTTTAGTAATCTCCTGAATACCATCTTCCTATTCTCATTTAATCTACTGTGCCTTGCAATATATTTTCCTTTTGGTCAAGGAGTAACATGGTCTCATTTCCCCCAAGATTTCTAGATACATAACGATTCGAATCGTTTACCAGGGGGTGCTGCGCCCCATACATTTATATATTTTCTAGCGCGGAGTTTGTGTTGAGAGGAATGACAGACCAGTAACATAGACTATAGCAGATTTTTTTTCTGACTAACGTCTCATTTCATGATAACAAGAACGATATTGTTACTTTTTGCCATTTCAAATTTAAAATCCAAGGGTTTTCAAGCCTTATGATATGATTAAACATTATCATGCGCCATTACTTTTATTTATTTTATTTTAAAAAGTCAAGGTATACAATTAGACAATGAAATTCAGTTCAAACAAGAGTCAAAGCAGAATCCAGAAACTTGTCAAGTCCAGCATGGGAGACTTCTATTGATCGACGTATGCAAGAAGGTTAGGACTGCCTGATCCAACACTAGAGAGGGCGTTGCTGGTTGCAGCGCTCTTGAGTTTATTCATTATGGTAGCAGGTGAACGACCCGAGCTTTCAGCCAAGTAGAGAGCAGCAATTCCTACAAAAGGAAACATCAGAAAAAATAAACACCAATTTCGTATTTAGCCCACAGTGTGATGCTGATTCAAATGAGTTGCATAATCAGTTGCAAAAGGAAGTATAATGAGGACAAGAGAGGGGAAACAAAGAGATGAACAATATTGGAAGAAATGACAAATGAGAAAAACGATCGGGGGAGACATAAGGGAAACAGTTCCTCACCTGAAACATGTGGACAGGCCATGGAGGTCCCTGACAGTGTCTTTGTCGCACTGTTAGAAGTGTAATAGGCGCTCGGGATGGAGCTGCCAGGGGCAAAGATGTCGACACACGACCCATAATTTGAAAAGGAAGATCTTCTGTCGTACTTATCTGATGATCCTACAGTGACTGCCTGCCAAAAGCAAAAGCATCGTGCATTTAGTGACATCTTTGAGATCATTATCTACAAAGCAATGCCAAATGGAGACTTACTACCTCGTCATCTACCGTATTGTTACAAATAACTTCTTCTCATGTCCACTGTCAGAGTTGCTGACTACCGTCTTTAAAGTGAAGCTGCAATCGGAAGTTTTCGACACAATTTTTCTGTGTCTAGTACTTTTCTTCAATGCATGAAAACTCTTACACACTTCTATTTGCTTAAATTCATCGGAAAGCGCACACTTTTATACATTCAAAATTATCCATATTCCAACTGAGGGCGCTGTTTCTTTGGAGTCATCTACGGAAGACATGGTTCAGTTTACATGTACAGGTATTTCTGTTCAAATTCTGAAGCCAACATTTACTAAACCGAGAACATTTCTGAAAGAGGGATTGCTGGTTCTTATGCTATGCACATAAACAATAAATTAGCAAAAAAGAAAACGCTCAAGGAAAATCCACGAAAACACAATACATTTTGTTAACAAACCAATGTAACATTGAGATGACATTACAGTTTTGCTCATGAATATGGAAATACTCTTAAACATAAAAAATAGAGAGGCCCTAAAATACCCTTTAAAATAGTGAAATTTAAAAATAAGGTTTACTGAGGCACAAGATGCATTTTACAGGTATGTAATCAAAAACATTGATTGCAGCTACCCTTTAAAGGTAGTGTACATCATTAGGTTTTTGTCGTAATTCCGCAAAATTGGCTGATGGCGGAGTAATATTATTCACTGCAACGTACATTCCACAGACTTGTTTCATGTTTGAGTTAGTTGCCTTGTGAAAAATTGAAAAAAAGCGCGGAATTTTCAACGATTAAATCAAAGATCCTGTAATTTATCTTTCGTAAAATATATGAATTACAGGGTGGGAGAGGTTCTCTCTCCGTTAGAAAAAGAGCAGTTTTCAGGAATCAGTGAATTTAGCTTGATAACATAGCATTACAGATTCATGAAAAAAATCTTCATCCAGGAATGCAGTCGACTTGTGTCTTTATGATAATGTACGTGCGCCCGCGATTGTGCTTATTGATGACACATTCACCTCGGTTTGTATGTCAATGGAAGTCTAAAAACACCATTTTTAGTTGGCTCATAGATAATTATAAACAAAGAGGAAATGTCTTGAAATATTGGAGGTTTAACGTGTGGAAATCGTACTTTTTGTTGACGTAAGTGGGGACCATACCATTATGCTCCAGGGATGATTTTGAATTCGCACAGTTTTTTGGTTAAGAAAATCCTTCCCTTAAATTAAAATTTAACTTCACACTGATAAAATTTATTTAATACTTTACACTCAAGTTCTTATAATTTCCTATAGTTTGCAATGCTTTTGGTGAATTTCTGTAAGTATAATTTTGCTTTCAGGTTTACCCGTTCATTAAAGGAGACTCCCACGATATCCCGCAAATACTACACACAAGAAAATTGGCGCCAGTTAAAAAATGTGACGTGCCCAGTGAAATGAACTCTTATACGACGGTCGACCGATTACCGTAAAAAAGTACACAATTTCTGTTTTCTGGAAAACTACAGCATTCTGGGCAGAAATATTTCAAGGACTGCTTTAAGAACGCTTAAAATATTTCAGGATTATACTAGTAGGTCGATTTAGGGGATTTACCAGTGGTGTACACTACCTTTAATCCTACAACTGTGCTTTATTTAAACAATTTCTTTCGATCTTTCATATTAAATGTTTCGATCTGTAGGACTTCAAATAACATTTATTCACAGCTTGAAGTAATTAACAGGGTCTACTCTACTGTAGTTACCTTGTCAACCCTAGCTGGAGAAGTATTACAAGCATTAGCATTGTCGTTACCAGCAGCGACAACCACTGAAATGCCTGCACTTATCACGCTGTTCACTGCATTATCCAAAGATGTAGATCTCGATCCTCCAAGAGACATGGAAACAACAGCTGGTTTGTTGGCATTTGCCTTGACATGGTCCAGTGCTAAATACAATTAAAAAAATAAATACGGCAACATGAATTAAAACTTAGGGTATATTTAGTCAGACGTATATCAAGCTGAAAAATAATCCACAGCTTTAACTGAATGTCAGATCACTCCCTTGACCTACCTCCGATGATTCCCGAGTAAGAACCGCTGCCGCTACATCCCAAGACTCTTCCAGCTTTGATAGTTGCTTTTTTGGCTACGCCATAAGTGGACCCTGCTGCAATACCAGCACAGTGGGTGCCATGACCGTTACAATCCGAACCCTATGATAAAAGGACAATTCAGTCATGCCAAATGTTCCAAGGAAACATCCAGTGATGTCCGGATGCATATGAAAGTAATTCAGTGATATCAGTGTTGCAGATGGTTGAATTTTCTGTTGATCAGTTACACAAGGATTTGTGACCTAATGCGTAACACCCGTTTATGCAAACAAGTTTTTAATTACATAATTACAGTGTGTTAAGAAGAAATGGAACTCACATCGTCACCAAAGGCATCATACCCAAATGAGGCTCTGCCTCCAAAATCGTTGTGTGAAAAACGAACACCGGTGTCCAAGACCCAGATTTCAACCCCCCGTCCACTTCCTGTGAAAGGGAAACTTTACTATTAGCTTACTATTAGCTTACAAACAATGAAGATAAAATACAACTTTCTGAAGCTAATTGCATAGGATACGTAGTACTTCGTAGAAGTACGGACACACAGGGCCGTTACATAGAGTGAAATGAACATAGATTCCGTATAGTATTCCATAAAAGCCGGCTCGATACCAGTGATAAAAAACAAACGCACGAGAAAAACGTTGTGGAATCAGTTCATGTGGGGGAATGACAACAATTAATTTTTCAATTATTCACACTTTCGTCGAGGCAAATTTTCGTCGTTTAATATTCACTAAAATATCTGTGACACCCACATGCGTGTTTTAGCAAACGCAGGTCTGAACAGTGAAAATTGGTACAACATCATTCAACAGTAGCTGGCTCGACACCTGTAAGAAAAGCAAATGCACGAGGAATAAACTGCGGATTTAAATTAAGCTTTCACAATTAGGCTACATTGCAACGAGGGAATGCTATCTACAAATTTCATAATTATTAAATACTCTCTCAGGTAACATTTTTGTCGTTTAATATGCTTTGAAAGATTTTGTTACACCAACATCCATGCTTCAGACCATGGTCCATATAAAAAAAATTAAAGAGTACGCAGCTTATACTCTGCAGGGATATAACTTTTGAAACTTCCTGATTCTTTAAGAATGAACTCCGTACTGTATTTTGAGTCAGGTGAGTATTTGTTATCGAGGGATGAAGATCTCTGTCCAATCCGGTCTAGTCCCCAGGGTATCGCAGTCGCGTATGCAATGCCGTCCTCAGATACATACTCAACCTCATCCAAAGTTCGTACCTGACAAAAATCACAAATAAATATTCACCAATAGTGCAAAACAGAGGAGAACTATTCAACGTGGTAATTTCATAATGATGCTTTTAGGTTAGCAAAAAACTTACAAGAAACGAAACATCCAGATTTTGAAGCAGAAAAAAGTGCTCTTTTCCGCCTTTGATTTGTGTAAAACCAATAATAATTACAAACGCCAATGATCATCTCAAAGAAAGACTTTGGCAGGCAGACCTTCCGTTCTCATCGATTTAACCAATTTGAAATAATTTATACTGACATCACCCTTACGAATACGCGGTACCTTTTTTCTAAAGCAGGAACATTACCAACTGGTTTTCGAACAAATAAAATTATAAACTACCGTATTGTATAGAAAATCGCTTCCGTTCTCACATATTGCAGTGCTTCCTCCGACAGTTCTGCAACCACACCGGTCAAGACGTTGTGGTAGCGACGGGAGAAGCTAGCTCTACCAAAACGCTGCCTTTGGACACGACGCTGTATGTCATCAGCAGTGATGTCAACATCCAAGTCATCCCTGGGATAATACAAACGAGAGTATATTAGCAAATTATTCAAAAATTTATAAGAAGTGTTATACGTCTTCATTTGTTCTTGTTAGTTCCTATAATTTAACACTGGTTACTTGAATTTGATGATGTAGCTGCCTTTGACGTTCTCGTCAACTTCGTACAGCGGAGCAAGGCCGGCTGCAGCTACACCCACCAACAACAGAAGAACCAAGGTACGCATTATGAGCTGACTTCACAGGTCTGTATCACCAATGATGACTACACCGCTTTCTCCACTGTAATGCTCTTTTAAAGACTAAATATCAAACTTAGATAGTTTAACGGAAACGATTTAGATTACGATGTTTTAGGCTTTGGGTCAGCTATCTACGACGGTGACGTATTCTCCAACTGTACAAAGGAGAGGGCCTATTTTTACTCTAATTTAAACAAATAAACGCAAAGATATCGTATAATTCTGGTTAACCATGAATATCAATATCTATTCACTTCATTTGAATTCTGAAGGATGAGAATTAGTGTACAAATTTAATTGCAAAGACTAGTATACACAAATTGAGAGTTAATGATTTTGAAGGAATCGGTTGCATCATGTTTAGGCTCGACAAAGAAAACTGAATGGAGTAAGAATCAAACTGCAGCCTCTAGAACACCACATTTTGCAATGTCTTTACGGGTTTTAGTTGGTTTTCAAATTTCCAATTTGCATTATGCACATAATATTCAGGTCATTTAACACCTGTCCAACCTCGCTTTCAAAAGGAAACACGCAATATACAAACCATACAGCCTACAAATTCCTCGTATTTTGGGCTCCTATCTTAATGGTTCATCTATTTTCCAAGTCAGGTGATTAAACGACACAGTATGAGAATACTTGTATCACAAGGTCTAACAGTACGGGCCTTTGATACTGGTTTTGACGCACTGTTCTTAGTATTTCAATTACCAAAATCTCAGATGATCAATTTTAAGATTTGTGAGTTAATTGACATCATGTATCGAAAATCTTTGACAATGTTGTTTAATTTACAAAGAATGAGTAAAGCTGGGCACATGGGAAAACAAGGGAAAACAAATAGCACGAGTGCAACTGGATGTTGGTGAATGTATCCATTTATTAGGACACACGCTGAATATTGACTTTTCCCTGTCTCGAGAACATAACCTCTTTTAAGCCCGTACGTCCAACTATAGTGAAAAATGTTATCTCTACGCCAGACTTAAAAAAGATTGACATGAGGTCTAAATGGTTGGAACACGTCGATCACACCGTCGTTGGTTGAAAACTTAAACGTGCACTTACTAGAGTCACGCCATCGTTCATTCTAAATTCTCCTGATAGTAGTGTGAAAGTGACAACATTTTTTCTACTTCTCCTGATCAAAAGTAGAGGGATACAAACCACCAACTTCCGAGAGTTTATTTTCTATTATTTTCTAGGATTTGATCCTCTCAGAAGTTCTATTCGGCTGATTTCCTTGAGACAAATAACTCCTTCTTGAAACAGGTCAACTTCATCGAAGAAAATCATTGTCGTTAAAATCTAGATACAGAAATACTGAGTCAAAATCAGTCAGTGGCATTAAAAAAGAATTACTCGTGGTTAACTGTAATGCCGTTTCATGTAGCGGTACAATGTTCTTATTTTGCTCCCCAAAGGCCTATAAAAACACACCACTGTCAAATACTTGTCAAGGAATACCTCTGAGTGTGATGAAAACTATCTCAATTTCTATTATCCATTTGCACTGAAAATAACATTTCTATTGACTGATGTGCCTGTGAGGACCGGACTGAAAACGGCTGAACAGAATACCAAACATTGCAACCTGCGATGAAACTCTGTAAAATGAAATCTTTATGACAATTCACATATGACTTGCAAGACAAAGATAAGAAAGAAATCTATCCTAACATATTGCAGGGCTTCCTTTGACAGTTCTGCAGTCTCGGCCTCCGGACATAATGACAAAGAGGAGAGAAATTACCTGTTGCCAGGGTTTTCTACAACAGTGTGGCTTGGCTTCAAAGATCCCCACTGTTGGTCATGTTAATTGCTGCTTTTTATTGCAAGTGGTTTTTGATAATCCAATAGCTGGAAGCAATACTTTCCTATGAGTGGACCATACAGTACATGGTAACAATAAACATCAAGAGGAGACAGCAGTATTTTTACGTTCATCTTCACTTATGTAAAAAACGGATACGCAGACTAACACGTCAATCCACAAGCATGTGTATGAGTAAATAAATGAAAATGGAAGATGTCACAGAAGGTTAAATATATTGTTGCACTGTCTCTCTGTTTATGGGGTAATATCAGAGAGTGAGAAAGAAAGAATTGTGCAGTATGTTCACACTCCCCTTTACAATGACTATAGTGCCAATGGTCTGCAGTTTGATTTAATGTTATGTACCTTTCCTTCCCTCTAGAAAGGTGTAGTTACAATGAAATTGTCAATGAAGTCCCTGACAAAAGCTTGAACTCTCCAAAGCTTCTCTTAGCTTTCCGTGCCTGAAAACCCAATTGTCCCAAGAAAAATCAACACTGGTGCAACTGAAATAAAAAATATGGTGTGTTCCCAGACTTGTGCACACAAAATTGGTTTACTCGTGACAAATACAATGATAACAATGGGGTGATTACAAGTACATATCTTACTTCTATTATCAAATTCTGCACCACAGGCACGCAACCGTCCAAGCTTTCATCTTTAATTGGAGAGAAGCAAAGGGAAACATCTGGCAAGAAAACAATTTCAAGGAAGGAGATACCATCTACTATAGTAGTGTGCCTCCAAGAGTTTGCAACGCGTTGGCCATTCAAAACGCACGAAATCTATTGACCCTTTTCCAAAGGCGCACTGGGCCGACAGATTTTACGCATTGTGATTGGCAAACGCGTTGCAAACTCTTGGAGGCGCACTATTAAGAAACGCCCGTATCACTAATAACTTAAATAAGGACGGATAGTAAATATTACAAGGCTTGTCTGAGCATAAAATCATCTTTAACGTACTGTGGAAGGGATGGACAAGAGGTTTTAAAAACATGTACTGTCATGTCTTCCCATTATCGGGTATGGTAGGAGAAGGGAGAGATGGTGTGATATGTTTATACTCCCCGCTACAATGGCTGAAGTGCCAGTACTCTGCATGACATGTACGCTTGCTTCCCTCCTTAAAATTAAAGGTTTAGTTCTGACGTGAAGATGTCAGCAAATCGCCTAACCTATGCTTGAACTCTCTGAACAATTTATATACCTTAATACTTGTCCAAGAAAAATTAAAACTGATGCAATGAAGGTCAAAATATGGTGTGTTCCCAGACTTTTGCAAACAAAATTGGTTAACTCACGACAAACACAAGAATAGCAGTTGGACGATAACGTCTTTATATATTACCACCACTATCTGAGCCTACAATACAGGCACGCGAACTGTGAAAACTGTAATCTGTAATTGCTACTGAACGTTTATCATTTCGTATCAAGAGGTATCTGGAAGATAAATAATTTGAAATAAGGAAACACCAGCTGCTCCGTCTTTCCGTAAACGTTTACTCCAAATATAAGAAGGGTACGCACTATAGTACAAATGACTTGCAAGTGTTAAAAGTCACAAAAAGACAACCTAACAGACGAAAGTAACGTTTTCACGCACGTGATTAAATGAACCGCGCTTGTGCACAATTGACCATTGCCCTTTCCACATTTTTTATTCACAGGTCACAGGTATGTACATGTACATGTATTGCATATCCTGCTCATATGCACGCATCACGTTTAATCATTTGCCTTGCTAGTCTAGCCCTGTCAGTTCGTCAAAACATGTCTCTGACACAGGTAAACCGTGCTTTACAACAAGCCACGAAGAAGCAGTTGGCCTTCGAAAAGCAAAATGCATATTCTGCGGTAAGGTGTGCGCGTAGAAGTTGGGAACAACTTTTTGCGGCAAGTCGGAGGAAGAATCCTTCAAAATCAGTAAGCCAATTGTATAGTCTAGATATAGGGCGCTGGCGAACTCGGGCCGTAATCAACTCGTTCCGAGTGAACTCAGAAACATTGTACACAAAAGCTTATATTTTCTACATTTCAAAAAAGTAGCCAATAACCAGGCCTTTATGACCGAACTGACAAAAACAGAGCATAACCGACGAAGTCGCGTCCAAGTTAAAAAATAAACAAAGTTTTCCAAAGGGACCGAGTTGACCTGGGACCGAGTGGACTCGGACCGAGTTGGCTACGAACCGAGTTGACCATAATAGACCCGTGAACGTATTAGCGGTTCACGGTCACGGCTACTCCTTTGATTCATTTCAAACGCTTTCCGAAAGCAGGCATCACCAGCAGGAGAGTGGCTGAGTCTCGGAGTGACAGATACCCTATGCAACTGAAAATTATTGGATGTAGTTACTTATGTAAGTTCTGATACTGCTCGTCAACTTTCGGGACGAAACAGAAACTTTTGGATGAATCATGCGCGTGGCACAGCGATGTATACCATGTTGTTGTGTCACCATCAAAATGACCTTGATGTCCAACTCAAACAAGATCTTTGGTGTGTCCCGGATTTGGGCTCAGGAGGGCAATATTGGGACTCGGACTCGGCTTGGACTCGAGAATATAGACTCGGACTTAGCCGGAATCGGACTTAAATCGACTTGGACAAAAATTGCCCAGGACTTGACTTGGACTCGACACTCATGGACTTGGCTTGGCTCGGACTCCGATTAGATGGACTCAACTCCATCACTGATATGCACCACAGTTTGGCAAGTTAAACTTGAATAAAATCTGGAACACTGGGTTCTTTTAATTTACGTCAACATAACAATTCGAATTCTCCATACTAAAACATTGTTGCTATAAGTTGCTATTGTGGTAAATTATTGCATATTTTCGACAATAATATCAAAGACCGTAGCACTGCTAGTCTCCCATTAACCTTGCTCCAAGACTTGTCCCAAGTTCCATGGCTCTCAGGACCCCTAATATAGAATTTGTTGAGTGTACAACTTTTATTAATGAGCTCAGCAGACAATTGAATTTTTTTCCTCCCTAAATTAAACATGCTGATTCAAAATCACCAATTTAAAAATAACTTGATTTAAATTACGATTTAAATCGGTGATATACAAATCAAGATGATTTACGGGTAAATTAGCCAACGTACCCTGAAATGCGCAATACAACAAACTACGCGAAATGGACCAAAACCACGGCTACATGGCTTGTACAACTTCCAGACGGACCATCAAGAAGCATAAGCTACATACAGAAATAAATTATATTTATTCATACGTTTATTCTTTTTCCTAATTTCAGATCGCAAAAATTATTCAGTCAGATTGCATTTACAAAAAATCTTCAAATTGCAGTGAAATGTGGGCAGTAGTCCACCTTGTGTGCAAGAGATACTGCAAAATGACTTTCTGATTCTGAGCTTTCCGCACGAAAATCCAAATTTCAGCCATGGCAACAAGCTGATTTTCTAATGGAGGATTTCTGAGAGAAAAATAGTTCATAAATAAAAGTTTCATAGCTAACTCCAACAAATTAAAAAGCAGAACATGAGTAAACTGTCACTCAACTTTATCAGCTGTACAGCATGCTGTCAATACCATCCCCACGCCGTGCTCTGACAAACCCACACAGTCACATTTTTGCTAGGTTAGTATAGTTGAGTTTGTAACGTAGGCCTACCTGCATTTGCGTGCACTTAGCATGCGATCCAGAAGAAAAGTGTTCACTTTTCAGCCGATTTTGAAGACAAAAATTCTAATTCATTTGATTAGCTGTAAACATGTATAGCCTACAACTGTCTTATACAAAATGTATTGGAATCACACTTAGTGAGTGACCTATCGCCCTGCAAATTGTTGCCGATTTTTTAGCTCCAGTGATTTTAACATACTCAAATGTCGAAGTGTGAACTAGAAATCTGGCCTAGTTCAGAAAGTTTGAGAAAGAATATATTTTACCTTTCAAATAGAACCTTTCTTAGAAATGCGAACTGAAGAATGCAGTTTGAATTCAAACGATCCAGACTTAGGAAAGATCTGCAACTAGAAAAATGACTATCAAGGGTCATGACTTTATTTGCACGGAAATGCTGTGGAATCCCGTCCTCCGAAAAAAAATTCAACTTGACTTTTTTGGTAGAAATAAGAATTACAGAAATAATGTCTGTTGTCCTAAAATTGCACCTGCTTCTTAAATCAGAACCATCACTCTGGTCAGTATTTTAACTGACACAGACAAACCTCGATCCCAAGGACACGACGGAGAAGCACAATTTAAAACTGACATGACTGACAAACGCCTTGTATGCAAAGTTTGGTATTGAACTTTCGCATGTTTGGAAGGCCAAGAAGCTATTTCTACCTTTTTCAGAGCAACCTCTCTTTACTATTCATCAAACTGTTTCAACTACACGCAAAATTTCACATATTGTCACCAATAATTTCTTCTGTTCTTCGTAAACACGGCAAACGCCCGTTTGCTAACGGACGGCGCCATTTTCACTTCGAGTGGCACTCGTCCCCAGGTGCAAAGGTGGTATTTCATGAGCTCAAATTGATAAAGGATCGAGGCTGGAGACAGCGCCCTCAATTTACACATTGAAAAATGGCGAACAAAACACGAGCATTTTCGCATTTTTATACCCTTATTTTTCACAAAAGAGCAAAACATCCGGACGGCAACAGACAAAATATTGATTCATAGTATGTAAGGTATTTATTACAGCAAAAAGTAATTTGCCACTCCAAACTCTCAACGAAACTGCAAGGTATAATTTCTGGCCCACGGTCTACCTGGAAAGCACGTATTATTTACATTATGCTCTCAAAAAAGTTCACTTTTTTATCTTTGGTACGGCTATTTGCTTCTTTACAAATGTTGTAACCGCATTGTTTTGAATGTGTATGGGCCAGATTAAGTAAATAGAGGATTTTTTTCATAATCGAAAAATGGTTTCATAGAAATTTATGGCTGGAATTCTTCAACTTTGTGTAAATTCCCTACACCGAGAGATGAATTTACCCACGCTTTTGATTTAGTTGGGGCCGTCTCGGCTACAGAATCCCTCCGTTGTTTTGAATGGGAGCTGTCCATCTGTGGGTTTGTGTGTCTGTGCCCAAGATCGACTAACCCTGGGTGCGCGACAGCCGATCAGCATAGTAGTCTGTGCGCGATACAGGCTTTTGAACCTTTGTGAACGATTTCAGAGTCATGGAATTTCGTCCGAAAGTCAAACAATGCATCTGAGGGTCCCCTAGCCTGGCACCCTTGAAGAAATCTAAGAAAATCTCACAAAACGTTCCAGAAGTTTTTTAAAAGTGATAAATTCGAGTAAATCATTCTTACCTCCTCTCACATATCCAGCCTAAAATTTGAAGTTATGTGTTTAGTCATGGTGGCGTGGAAGTCTCCCTGTAATGAACATGCATCAGCCAATACTAGATGTAGGCACCACCAGTGTAATGAACACCTTGCACTAATGAATTCGAAAATTGCTGAATGTTCTGCTCTAACATCAACTTCGTTGTGCTTTATTACCACAGAAGATGGTAATGACTTTAAGAGCAAATTAAACTAGAAACGTACTGTGTAGGCGTTTTACAGAAAACTGCATACATTTTGGAAAGTACTGAAGTTTCAAAGAAATTTCATGGCAGTTTGGGAACGTTGACAGGTTCTCTTGCTACCGTATTCTTCGAATGGCCAAAAAATGGAAAACTTAATAGGCCAAATACGCTAATGGCGCAATATATTTATAGGCAAGCTAAATGGTTCTACCTGCCCTTTAAAAATGGTGCGTAAGCCCATGTGCATAATTCTCACAGGCATGCACTGACTGATGTTTGAAATTGACCTTTATTTTATGCCTCAAGCATTACTTTTATTAAAGTGTATTACGTGTGGATAGCTACTGTAAATATCCACAAAACTTGAAAGATATCTGTCTCATTTCAGTAGGCTACCCCAAGAGAGTCTTTCCGGACTTTCTGTCTTCTCAAGTAAAGTGGCTCTGTGATGACCTGCTTGAATGGACACAATACTGCTTACAGTCCTTCATCATCTTCCTGCCAAGCAGAGATAAATTGGGCTGTTTTCTCCTCTAGTTTGACCTTCAGTTTTCTCTTCTGGAAATGAAGACATGGATGGAAAATGCACCGTGTTTGAAATTGCGTTCATACAATATAGGCCAATGTTTTCTAAAGCAACTTAACCTACACAATATATTTAACAAACTATACATCTCTCTCATTACATTTTGCCATTGTGTGGTTGTTTCCCAAAGCATTCTTTCTAATTCTTAATCTTCCACGTCATGAACCCATTAATATTATACACAACTTATAATATTGTATTTTTCATTTGGGATAAAGCTGTAAAACTTTGTCATTATTATTTCATTCTAATTTTCGGTTGGGGATGGCAAAGCGCTGGGGTCTGCTCCGTTTTAAGGTTGTCAATGTCGTGTGTACAGGTATATACAAATTTCGACACGTAGTTTCCTCCTCGAAGCTGAACTTCCAGACACCACCACAACTATTTTTTAAAACCAAGGTGTACAATGGAAGGCACTTTTTCAGTTTCAAAAAGGTTGTGTCTGAACACAACCAATAGAAAGCTATTGTGCATAATTAAGAGGAAATGTGCTTGACCAGTCTAAGACGTCGTGCGTTTAAGACCGGTTTGGGAGAATGGACTGCACTAATAATAATCTCCACTGATAATCATTATCACATAATTTATGCCCATTCATGAATACCATTTTAGACGGAGAGTCAAAGGAAATCAATATACAGAAATACAAAAAAGTTTCGAGGATTTTGTTCAGAAATCTTACTTTGATTTTCCCCAACACCCCCGTTCATATGGTGGTATATTCCTTGTGCAAGTGTAGTAGAGGTGAATTTAATCTTTCTTTTTTTGTTAGTCCACGTAGTTATATAGGAGTGGTACCCCCCACTTTACCCAGCAAAAACCTGCATTGTGTGTACCCCTGTGTAAAGTGTTTGTTTAAGAGGCATGCAGCTCTATGACCAGGTATGCTTAGGGTCTTTGTTCAGTAAGCCGGTCAGCAGCCAAGGAGTGCACATGTACATAAAGTCTGCTCTGAAGATGTGTAGGACCTGCAGTGGACTTGGTTGTTGAAGCTTCAGTGTAATTGATCTGTGCCTTTTCTTGATACTGTGTTTGGGTTTTGGGCTTGGTTTTGGGTTTGGTTTGGTCTTTTTCGGGGTCGTTATTTTCTTAGTACCTGGTTCCTTTTTTTGTACTGCTGATATTTATCGAGAGTCTTTTACCAAAAGGTTAAGGTTTACTGGTCTGAAGAAATTGAATTCCCAGGTCTCAAGTTTACGGTATGACGTATTTTCACTAGTTTTGGGCTTTTTTTGCTTTTCTTTGACTTTTCATTTTTGTTACTTTTTTGTCGGCTAAGAAGTTACTAATAGATTGTAAATTATTTATTTTTTTCCTAGGTTGGTTCTTGGTTGTTAAATAAAATAGTTTTTTTCTTTTGACTTTTTTTTGGAGATCAAACACTTCTTCTGTCCTGTCTTATTTTTTTATATAGAAAGACCTCGCGATTTGTCCTTAGTTGATCCCTGGTTAGGTAGTTTTTTGTGCAAGCGATTTCCCCCAGAGTAATCTTCTTCTAGTGTTCCATTTTTCCAGGTTACACAAGCAGTCCAGAAGAATTTCCATACATTATGGACTTGCCGCATTCACATTGACTTCTGACCACTCGGAAAGTCCCCATTAAGCTTTACGCAGCAGGCATTATCAAATGTTAATACACGGTCACGTGACGCGTTTCGACCAATAGGAATAGAAAAACTGCCCCATAAATTTATGAATTCATGTTTAAATGCCTCAAAGAATGAAGTAATCTGCTAGATAATTACAATTGGAACAACAATATTTTACCTTGCGGTGTTCTGACGGGCTGCACTCTTGTATCAAAGCTCTTAGCTTTCAAAGTTCTCTCTCCAGTTCAAGTGGTTCCATCATCCGCTCGAACTCCGACATGCCATCTGATGGGGACACCCTTGTTTTGTTGATTGGCAAAATATGCTCTGGGTACGCCTGATTAAAGTTCCGCTGAACTGTATCGTGACAAGACTCTTTACCCTTTGGTATTACATTGTATGCAACTGGCCCATTCCAGCTGAATCCCAGGTAGAAAGTCACAATTTCTTGACTGGGAGTGTGTTTCAAGTACGGATATGCTAACTTCACATTTATCTTCTTGCCCTTCGAGGAACGATGAAACAGAGTGGTATTACTGAAAAGAGTCCCTTCCAAGCGGAATAGTAATTTCTTTACAACTTTTGACTGCCAGAAATTGCCATGTTCAAGCCTTTTTTGAGTCGCAAGGATTTCGTGGATGTGAACGAAACTCTTGAGATCTTTACCGTGACCCAAAAAGAAATGGGTTCTTGGTTTCACATGAAAACGTGCGTGACAACTAAACTTGTCTTCGCGTGACGACTGTTGGCCCCAGTGCTTCAGCCGACCGATCCATCGTTGCTGTAATCTATCTATGTGTGCTGTTAAATCGTCCCTGTCCCGTCTTTCAGAGATGGTATCAGGTATTGGCCACAGAAACATCATCATGAAGAAAGGTGACCAGCAGTCAGTTTTACTATGATCCAGAGTATTCAACGGCCGAACAAACTGCTGATATACCTCGTCAGCTGACATTACTTGCTCCCCAGCTGAGGAGAGCGCCAGGTGTATGCACACAAGACGCTTCAAATCAAAAAAGTTGTAATGATCGGAGTTTGCAAAAAGGAGGTCCCGTGCTTCTTTCAGATTGTCCCATTTACATTCTTTTGCCAGATCAAAGATGTCACCAAAACTACTGCACTGCAGTTTTATTACT